CGTCCCATCCCTAATTGGCACCATATAAATAAACAAAATTGAATTTAATGTCCAATATTTATGTATTACAAAACTAACGAGACATCTGCCTTTAAACATATATGAACTGTAGCAAGATCCTATCAGTAACAGATGTCCCTTTCACTTAACATTTGCAGCCATTGCAGCATAGAGTCTTCTGTGAAGGTTTTGCTCATCACTTAGAGACGCATTTTCAAGTTAAAAGACCAATGTGGGACCACAAGGCCTGGCTCAGTCTCTGCTCCGGGTCGTCAAACAGGGGTTTAATGGGTTCCTTGACATCAAACCTACTGATTATTATGACCCCATCTTTGTGCAGTAATGTACAGTCATGTTGAAAAAGGAATTTGCCCTTCAAAAACAGCTGTAGCATTAAGGGTTCCTTTAACTGATTCTAACTTCTGGAAAAAATAAAACACCCTTCCTCATTATAACTTTACACTCTGCTAGACGCAGTCAAGCAATTACTGTTGAGTTTAATTCGATGTTGGTTAACAAAGTAGTATTACAATGAATTCAACTTAATAACCAGGCTCCTCCAGAGAGACGTCTTTCTGGCTCATTAGTAAAGTTTACTCTCTTGCATCCAACACTAAAACTCTCACTTGAGGTGAAGTTTGGTGCAACTGCTGCGCCACTGAAAAGCATACCAAAGAACTGCTTTAAACTGATGAACAGATGTAGTCTTGCTGGTGACTCTGAACACTGTCTGCCTCTGTATCTGCATCTGCATCCTTTGCTTTGTTGACCCCTAACTCCTTGGCCTAGTCACTGTAGCACCCACTACATACTGCTTTGTTAACAGCAAGAAAATGTCACGAACTTTGCTCTTGAGAACCTGTTCTTTAAAAGACGTTTGTAGGCATAGTCTGCAGGGTATCTGTGTTTAATTTCATAGACTTTGGACCAAAGTTCAGATGAGAGGCTCAATAATTCCAGCTTACTATGTGGTTAGTGGCTGTAACTGATTATCAGGAACCTGAAGGGGGCAGCAATGACCAAGATATTCCATTTAGGATATGAACTCAGTCAGATTATAGAGAAGTACAGCAACATAGCAACAAATACTAAATACTTAGTCATGGACCAAACAAGAAAAGCAAAAAAACAAGTTTGAAACCACCTGTGCAGTGACAGCAACAGATTAAAGTGGAGAATCCTGAATTGGTATTAAAGTAAAACCCTCTTGGATTATTCAGATAAAGCAAGAACAAAATTCAAATTTCTTTAACTTTACAGCCAAATCATTCCAACTTTACATATTCTTTGGTAAGCAGGAATAAGTTAAAGGGTTATGACACAGAGTCAAGCAAGAACACCAATAACTGGTTCTTATTTATTCTACTCAACAAAAAACAAAAAATAAATAAATAAAATATATAAAATTAGGAGTCAAAAATCAATCCCTAGTGTAATACCAAGAACCATGTTTTTATTTTGATTTTTTTTTTTTTTTAACTCCGCAGCGTTAGAAGCTAATTTCTGCCATTGGGGAAAACTAATCCCTGTATTTCATATCCCAAATAAGGCCATGCTGAGAAAAAAAGGAACGACAGTCTAAAAAAACAAATAAAAAAAACAAAGTCAGTGACCTCAGCTGCAAAGGCAGCTAAATCATTCCCCTGCTCTGATTCCTATAACACATATTTGAGTCTAATCTAATCCAGAGGGTGAGGCCTGCACCCATTTTCAGAGTTACAACACCCAGGGCTCTTTCAATAAAACCCATATAGTCTTTTAAAAAAAATTATTAACCAGGCTTGGAGCCATAAAATGCTCTCAAAATTAAACCGAGTGGTTTCAGGTACAAAAGGGAAGCTGGACCTTACCATCACTGTGCAGTCCTCGGAGCCGCTTGCAATTACTTGGTCATTGTGGGGGCACCAGTCGATGTCTAACACAGGGCCTGTGTGACCACATACTGTTGGGTAGGATTTGTCAATGCGTCCCGACTGTAAAGATAAAGATAAACAGAATAATAAGATTAGTCTTAGTCAGGTCAGTGTTTTGAAACAGAACAATTGTGGCCTAATCCTAAATCCCACCTACAAAGAGTAGTACTATAAACAAAGCTGGATTCTTCCCACACAAATGCATCGGATGAGAGGTGTGAGCAAGGAAGCGTGAAATAAGGAAAAAAGGAATAAAAAAAAAAAAGAAAAAAAAAAATTCTTTGTTGGTCATGCTAAAAAAAACAAAAAAAACTGAGTTTCTGCAGCCAAAATGAACAAATTAAATTCAGTGCTAACATCTAAACCATTGTAATTAATGACAGTTAGCCATGACGTCAGGCTGGCTACAATCAGGATGGGCACCCTAAATCAAGTAGTGAACAACCCCCTTTACATAATCTACTTATGCAACTTGGAAGAGGCTATGTGCTTCAGAGATGTGCAAATGCAAACAAAACCTTTTACCCAAATTTTTAAGAGAAACAAAGGGCTCCAAAATGAGCTCTCAAACTGCTTAGCTAGCTTAGCTCATCTCTGCATTGATGTCCAAGACATCCTGGTCTGACTTCCTGGACCACCACAGGACCAGATGATGTCACTGAGCAGCAGGCCTATTTAAAGCCTAACAGCCTAATAGAAGAAACAGTCTCACTCAGCCTGCAGCTACTTCATCATCATACCGAGAATAAATACAGGAATAACTAAAGAACAGCTATAAAACAGCACAATTTCAACACAAAAAAAGTAGGAACACTTTTTATACCAAAAAAGTTTGAATGCTGCATGATTGAACAGCAACTTAGCAGACATACTGTGGTCCCAAAGGCAGTGCACTGGGTGGACACTGACAACAAAAGTAAAGACAACAATTTAATTTATAGTCTCAAAGTTCAGATCCTTTACTGGACGAAAATCCTCATACCATTAGCCAAACAGAAAAATAAATACTCAGAAGTAGTTTTCTTCTTCTCACTCATGGTACTGCAAGTAATATTTTGCAAACAAGTGCCAACTGTGTTTATACAAGTGCTTTACAAATTTTAGGGAAAAGGTATGCTCACCCTTTTATTTACCACTACTGTACCTGTCAGGTTGTGCCATTTTATTTTAAAAACAATATAGTCACCAAAGCTGATTTAAGAAGTATTTTACCATTGTTTTTTTTTGTTTTTTTTTTTTATAAAAAGAAAAGACTGAAACTATAACCTAAATAGTATATTCAAACTTTTGTAGTTGTTATGTCTGATCCAACAGTCCTTATAAAAGCTAAAGGTATGCAATTTATTACACAAAGAAGCAATTACTTGCATGTCAAATTTTCTACAGAATCAATCTTGGCATATCTAAAAATCAAACACTGTATAAAGCTACATGAGTAAGAACTGAAAATGGCTTCATACCTACTCTGCATACAATTAAAAACTCAATAAAAAGAAAAGAAAGAAAGAAACAAATTAATGCCCTCACCTTTTTTGCCATAAAACAGACAGTCTAAAGGTTATGTTTTCTTGTAATACTGAGACTTAAAGTTTGGTCTGGTAAGCAGGCTTGTTTATTGCTTCCAGCTTCTGTAAAGAAGTTGTCAAGTCAGTGTATTAAATTCAATTTATAACAATTTGAATAATTCTAGGAATAAAAGCTTGCATTTCTTTATACATGTTTTTTACAGTCTGAAAATTAACTAAGTCTATAAATTGTAATGCTTTTTATTTTAAGAATAATACATTTGTTTGACCTGTGTAACTGGAATTACAAATTACTCTCATGGCTCATTTCTGAAGTATGAATAGTGGTTGTATCGTACATTTAAAAGCATTACCCCTAACCTCTACATATTAATACATGTATGAGAGAATCAGTGAACAGTAGAACAAATGGAGTGATTTATATTTTTCCTAAGAAAAAAATACTCCTTGAAAATTTGGTATATTAATATAGAATTAAAAATGTATTATATACTGTAGTTATAGTTAATTATTCAGGACAAGCTTGGTGGTTTGCATTACTTTTCTTCACGAATCCAGGTCATTTTGCTTTATAATCCCAGGCAGGCACTGATTAGATTGTTTTTTTTTTTTTAACCCAACAGTAAATGACAAACATGTCAGAGCTATAAACATATAGTCCTCTGGCAGACATGCATTTCCTCTCTTGGATAGTTTGTGGAAATATATTAGTCACTGGGGAAAAGAAAAACAAAACAAAAGAAACTATAGGACCATGAACATAACGACTCACACCCTGAAAGATATGACGGCACTGTTGATAGGAATTTATGATCCACCATTCAGAATCCGATAGCAAGAATGTCCAATTCATGAAAACAAATGTGTCCTTACACGTAGCAGTCCATTGGAAATTCCTTCTTTAACAAATAAAAACAAAGACATGTCAAACTCTGTGTATATTAGACACATTAGACGCCAACATCCTGAACAGCTTCCAACGCATGCCTGTAGTTCGTTTCCTGAAGGCAACTGGAGCAGGATGCAAAGCAGGAAGGAAACCGACTTAATACCAGGTGTAGCAACAGAGCCACGTAAACAAGTCTGAGTAAAGAGATTAGAGAGTAAATCAAACAGATCACCAGTTAAAAATGATTAAAGTCATGAAACTGCAAAACACTAATAAAATGATTTGAAAGTGGATCAGGTTGATTCTAGTTAAACTTCCCTTTCAGAGGTAACAGTCCAACCAGTTCTAACATGTAAAAATATTTCAATGATAACATGTACTGTACACACGTTTACTCACCCTTTATGTAGCCAAATATTTTTGGAACAGAACGTGCAGTTTAAATAAAGCCATCCAGGCACAATAAATTAAACCTCTACAACATAAAAGCACTAAAGATTACAGATTAGTAAAAAAAAAAGAAAAGAAAAAGACTGGTCAAATTAAAAAATTTATTTTATCCATATTCTGCTCAGGACCACCATTATCCAGTCCATTCTTTTAGAAAAAAATTTTATGAAAACAGTATAAATATATCTTTTAGTCAGATGTTTACAATTTTCATCGTAGTGGGACAAAACAGCAACATCTTCCTTACCTTTCGTGCCTTACCCTAAAGCAGTTGACATGTGTATGACATGACAACAACATGTCAATAAGGGCACCCTTTTGGAGGAATCTTTGCTGCGATCAGGCTTTCTACCGAAACAAATTTGCTGTCAACTCAGAAACCTCCCCAGCAGATTCATATTTTAGGCAATTCAAATCGTAACAGAAAACACGGCTGAACGATTTTTCACAAATATTAAATATACATTTATTTTCCCCAACATATACTGCAAATGTATATTCATTCTAAAATATTCTTTGTATTAGATGTTTCATTTTAGGGTTTCATTGTTTTCTTGACCTTCAAAGCTTGTTTGTCCACAGTCCTTCCTCTCTGGACTTAAATGTTAAAGCTGTGGGGGAAAAGTGTTTACTTCTACTCCAATTCATAAGCCTGCATGCATGCATTACCTTTTGTTAAATTGCAATTATATTGAAAATGCAATCAACTGCAAACCCCTAACAGAAACTAAATTATGTTTACGGTTATAAATTTAAAATAAAATGTGGTCAAGGTTATTTTGGTCGTGGGAGGGACCTTGAATCTGACAAAGGCCAGTACAATTTTCCCATTTATGGATTAAAGCTTAGGTTTTGTAGTTTTTTAATAATCTACAAAAAAAAAGGCACAGTTATTAAGTTATTGCTAAATTATGATTTTAATAAAACAAGATTAATAAAAACACCAGCAACCAGTGTTCACACTGCAGGTATTAATGCTCATTTTCAAATTGTTGTCAGATCAAACTTTTTTGTGAGTTCACATGACTGTCTCAAATTGTCCCTAAAGAGTCCTGCATGCGCAGAAAAATAAAAACAAGTCACATCAAACGACGCTCAGAGCAACAGTGACCGGCGTTCACAGAAGAAAAACAACATGACATGTCAGAAGTCAGTGTGTGTTGGTGGATTTCAAAGCTCTTATGCAGTGGAAGTAGCTGGATGACAGTAGATTATGGAAAAAAAAGGAGACTGAGGATAAAGAAAGCTTAACGTTTAATTAAGGCTTTTGGAGGAGTAGTGGCAGCAACATCTCCAAAGAGAACTGTGCAGGTGCAGCATCATAGGCAGCTGACAGGTTAGGGTATGCTCCCTCAAGTTTTTTTTTTTGCATCGTTGTATCCTCCCAAATACTTACCAATTACAATTTTTTTACCCCTTCATTGTATACTTTTCATACTGTTCTCCGTGTTTGTATAATCTTTTTTGCACTGTCAGTACAGAGGGATGTCATCCTCATACTAATTCCGATATCGGTCACTTGGCTGTTGAGACCGCAGTCAGATTCCAAAAGATCTGACCTGTAATCGCTACCAGGTGTGATATGGCTGAAAGATTTATCATGATATAAAGCCTTTTATATCACTCGATATCAAGACTTACTCTTTAGTATTTTGTTTACTTATTTAAAATAAGGAAATATCCATAATTTATAGACTTTAACCTTTGAAGGAAAAAAAAAAAAAAAAAAAAAGAGAGACCAAGAAGAGACCATAGAGACTTGCTTGGATTGCCCTAGAGAGGCTGAGAGGCTAAATCCCATACACTGCTAAAATCCCCCAGAATACCATGTGGTTCTTAATGGGAGTTCATTGGAAATATTGAACAGTTTAATACGACATATTTTTCATAGATACAGATCGGGTGTCTATTGCACTGTATAATGATTTATTGCTGAGCCCATTATGCGAAGTAAACTGCTTAAATTGTAACCATAACCATATCAAAGTTCTCTATTTTGGGTATCTGGGGACCGTTTTAAAAATCACCTTTTAGGAGCCACAAAATAGGCAAGGTATAAAGAACACTGTGCTGGGTAATACATTCTGTGCACAATTTGTTCCATGTGGGATGTCTAAAATGACAATCTAGTGGCAATCAGAGCATGAATTCCCATGGGAACTAATTTGATCTTATTTGCTGAGAACTCAACATCT